GCGTTAATCTGAGATGGAGACGAAGGGAAAGAATATGGTTATGATAGTTGCTATGATAATGGCTGGTTTTACGTTAATGGCAGTTACCTCTGCCAATAACGAAGCCAATTATGAGCTTATTCCATCAAAAAATATTCTTGTGCAACTTGATCGAGTCTTATTCCCTAACTATAATAAGCCTGATGAATGTGCTGCTTATTATGAGTGGTGCGACGGAATTCGCGCCAAGTGTTGCGAAGGCTTGAAATGCAGCAGGCCCCTTTGGGGCGGAATGTGCATAGTTTACCCATACTAGATATTCGCATTGCAAAATATTACAGTATTATTATTACAGTAAGTATTGTGTTGTTTATGTGTGCATGTATCGGACTCCTACTATAAGTAAGCTACTAGTGAGTATATGTATGTATTTAAGGGGGCATGGTAATATAATTATATAAATAAATGTTGCCCTTATCTATCTTCGTAATTTTGTTTTTATGTACTACCTCCGTTATCATTATGTGCAATAAAGGAATATTTTTATGTCTTACAAATAATACCCCTTTGTTGCACATAATAATTAACGGAGGTAGTGTAAACTATGCATATGGTACGGTTATGCCTTATATAAACTATCTTTGTATTACATAATGTGCCTGAACTGGTTATGTGTTCTTCAGTTTTTGGCCGGGCAGCTCCTACTATTTTTGCAAAGATGATGATAAAAGAAAAGGCCTAGATATTTATATTTTTAACCTGATACATTAAGTGAAAGCCAGAACAATAAAACAAAATAAATAAATAAATAAATAAATAAATAGAATAAAAACAATAAAATTCATAAAGCTAAGGTTCTTTCAAAAAAAAAAAAAAAAAAAAACCAAAAAAATCATAAAGCTAAGGTTTGTGGGTCATCCGTCAAGCAAAAGGGGTGGCCATCACCTGACAGGGGCGTGACAAAGATTTTCGAGGCCATGTGCGATTTTATAAAATTAGGCCTTTTTCATAATTAAAATTAAAAGATAAAAATATTGATAAACAAATTAAATTTTGCTTCAATGAACATAATATATGAAAATTCGAATTAATTGTTCTAGTCAAAATTTTTAAAAAATTTTCGTATACAAACTGATAAGTACTTTTGTTCACCAATTATTAACATACAAAAAGTAAACAAGCAAGTGTTGAAGATTCTCTTTAAAAATTTATATACTTCAAAAAAAATTATGTACGTATGTGAAACTATAATATATAAAAAAAAGTTAAAGTATGTGAAAACTGTAATTTATATACTTCAAAACAAAATTCAGAAAAAAAAAATTAAAATACAAGGGAAACTAGGATATAAATCATATCATATCATATATCACTAATAAATAAAGCCGGTCTCGCAGACAGGCCACGAGACAGTGACACTTGACATTTCAATTTTTCGCCAAGTGTCGCGCCACGTAGGAAATAAATAGGTATTATTGTGACACATATGATGTTAAGTAAGTGATTTTTGGATAGATTTTTTAAAATAAATTTGTTGTATAGAGTTTTATTATCGATAGAATTCTAATATTTTATATATACAAAATTAATTATAACTTTTAATAAATATCCTACAACTTAATTCTATTTCCATCATCAAATTCGTTTTAAAGAGTTATTTAAAATAAAATCCATTTATAATATATTTAATTACAAACTTTTATACGTAGCTGGCCAAACCGTGTCACCAACTATTACAAGAGTTACGGAGTACTTCGTTAGTGCTATAGCCTATAGGGGTTTGGTCAGTGTTATAGTGGTTACCATTGGTTGCTATGTTAATCGGACACGACTAATATCGTGAAGTGTCCGTGTCGACGTGACACTTCACGGACACGGACACGTGTCCTATCCTTTACTGTGCACTCGGACAATTCCATTAAGAGAGGAGAGGAAAAAAGAGAAGAAACATGAAAGAAAAACGTATCTTGTTCGAAAACTAACATAAATATAGAGAAGATGGAGAGAAGAATATTGTCATTTATTAGGAAAATTACCGAGAAAAGAATTATAATAATAAAAAAATATATGGGTAGACATAATGAAAATTTTAAACCTTTTGTAACATATAATTTATTTATATAAATGTAAGTAACATATAGACGTGTTCCCGTACCTGTGTCCAAATATCGGACAGAGTCCCCGTGTCCTAAAATTTTGGAACTTACCGGATCGGACACGTCCGACACCCATTTCCAAGTCCATGTAACATCGATTAGTTGTTTTCTTGCATATAATGGCATGTTATCTGGATGGTCTACCGCGCAAAAGAAGTCATGTATTTATTATACGGATGAAAACAGCACATTTTGGCTTGAACGTGGAGGTAAACTGGTAAAGTTATTAATTATGTGGTTGCATGCAATGAATGCCATCGTCCATTTTTCTTAACTGATCATCCTTCTCAAAATAATTAATAAAATAGCTTCTTGATCACAAGTCACCGAATAATTGGTTAATTATGAAGACAAACTCTTAAGCTGTTGACATTAAGCCATCAAATCAATAAAATATCAAGGTTAATAAAATGAAATTTTTTTCAAGATAAACAACCTTAGTATTTATTTTATCCTAAAAAATTCCCTTAATACGATCCCAAATTTCTTTAACAATAGTTTTTTATGGTAAATGGTTTGTAGGAGAGATCAATAGCTAGAGCTAGTGTTATTAATCCATTGTTTCACAATCGCATCTTATCATTTCTTTAAGGCATCTAAGACATCTTCGATCTAGTTGAAGAATGGTAGGGTTAATGTGATCTAGTAGATACACTGTAGGCACACTCATGGTTCTCAATTATAAAATTATTGATAGAGATGAGAGGGGGAAAGAAGAACTTTCATGTATTCAATCCACTAAAAAACGAACTAGATAGCAACATATATATAGTGATCATTAGATCATGCATAACATTAACCCACTAAACCCACTACTGGAGATCGAGCATATTCCTATACATTAGAAGTGAACTAACCACTAACAATTTAAAGCAAATATTCAATCAAAGATCAAAAGATAGAGTCGCAATTTTGATGGATGTTCATAGAGTCAAAAGATTGTGAGATAATCCTTGAATTGGATTGTATTATTGCGTTCATCATATGCATGTATAATGATACAAACCCAAACATGCATAATCCTATCCTCTAGCTAAGTGAAAACGGCAGCTAGTTGGTCTTCGTAATTAGATTATAGCATAAACTATTACTCGTAGCATCAAATTAATTACAGGATTATTTAGAATCTGAGATACTTTCTACTGCCATATGATTTTAGGATGAAACCTCAGTTCCCTTAGTTTTGTGGATTGGACTCGCTCTTTTGATTATAGGTGCTTCCTAGACCCATACTTAATATGCATGGTGATTGGTCTTGTGACTTTGAAGCTAGTACTTGATAATGTCATACATTGCTAATTGAGGAAACCTACATTCAGGTTTCAATTACATTAGAGGTAATCGATCGTGGTAAGAATTGTAAGGGTAAGGAAATATTGAGAAAATACAAGTTAATCTGTATGGTTGACAAATTTTGTCAATCTAGTCGCAGTATTAAATAACTGCACCATTTTTTTTTATTGTTTGTTTTAGGGCATAACCGCTATTTCAATATTGCTACTACATTGACACTTATTTTGCCACTAAATTGACAAAATTTGTCAATCATAAAGATTAACCGGATTCGCCTCAGAAATATTTAAGGCACAAAAATATATCGATCATGTTATTTTATGAGCTCAAGGACCAAACCTGTTTGGTTGCATTGTTACGAAGAATTTGCATCAGACACCCAAAATTGCCAGAAAACACCCACCCTTCACTTCCCCCACGTTTTCTTGGCCTCCATTTCTTATATTCAATTCCCTGCAAATTCATCAACATAATGAATATAAACTCTCCTATCAATCTAAGCCAAATGCTTTTTAAGGTCCTGTCTTGTTCACAAACTAGAGGCTTATCAAGGTCTTTTGTTGCCACTTTTTTTTCAGAGATACTTTAATTTTTTACAAAATGACAGCCATAAAAGTTTCTTTATGACAAATTTTCCTAAGGAAATATAATTGCTTGAACAGTAATCTATTCGGTACATTATGATAATACAACCTTATGGCAACGTTTTTTTTAACGTGCAACACAACCTTATGGCAATAGTTTTGAGAAAAAAAAGATCAAATAATGTATGTATGACTTGTATGTAAATGAACAAATTAATTAATTAGAATAATTTATGCACAATTGCACAGAGTAACTAACCCTTCTCTATTGTCAATATAAATTATTTTGATAAAACCATTTGTTTGATTTCACTAATCCTCTGTTAAAAGGACGTGCTTTAAAGCTGTGTTGTTACTAAAAGAAAATTAATGACGTATACAAGAATACATTTATCAAAATAACTCACCTGGACCCGATTTATACAACTGTGGTTGCTAGCCAAAAAAAAGTGCGGTTGCTAGCCAATACAATAATGACTCTGCTGGCATTTGATGCATTTAATCATGGATATAGACCGATAGACGTGCTTGATTGGTATTACATTAATTCTCAAAAATAAAATCCAGACTCAGTTAATATAAGGGTAAGAAGTCTTAATTTTTTTAGTGTCTAGAGAGCCACTAGGACAGGTGATGACTATCAATCCTAGGATCATTTGGAATCGGGTGAGCTACACCTAACTCTCAAAGTAAGAAGCCTTAATAAGAGCATTATAGTTTCCACCTTTCCTTTTTCTTTTTCTTAAAAAACATATGTTATAATATATAATTATTATGATGTAAATCTAACTCTACAATTGACGATTGATACAATTGTGAAAATCAATCTAACTTTGTAAATAAAAAACATAAATTCCTAATTTCCTATACACAAATGAACAACAATAACTGTACAATAATCAATTTACAATAAATTCCTAAAGTCATTTCGGAGAGTCAGAGTGCATTTGTTCCTAGTAGACTAATAACTGACAATGCCTTGATAGCAATGGAAATTTTTCATACGATGAAGAAACGGAGTAAAGTTAGAAAGGGGACAATTGCGATGAAATTGGATATGAGCAAAGCCTATGATCGGGAAGAGTGGTATTTTCTGGAAAATTTATTGCTTAAAATGGGGTTTGCAGATCGATGGGTGAGACTTGTTATGGATTGTGTTTCCACGGTTTCATATTCATTTATTATTAACCGCAATGTGGTAGGTTCGGTGTTGCCCTCTAGGGGGTTGAGATAGGACGATCCTCTGTCACCATATCTCTTTATTATGGTGGCCGATGCTTTTTCGGCTCTAATAAAAAGGCATCGGATTACAGATTGGTTCATGGTGCTGGGGCTAGTAGGAAAAGGCCGAAAATCTCTCATCTCTTCTTTGCCGACAACAGTCTGCTACTTGCAAGGGCCAAGCGTGTGGAATGCTCAAAGATAGTTGATATACTCAACATATATGAAGCAACTTCCGTAGTGAAAATTAACTATGAAAAATCGGAGGTCTCTTTTAGCAAAGGCGTAAATGTTTCGAAACAGGAAGAGTTGGTTGATTTACTGCAGATGCGGCTTGTAGTTAAACATGAAAAATATCTTAGGATTCCTACTGTCATCGGAAGATCTAAGAGAATGGTGCTTGCGGCCTTGAAAGATAGAATATGGAAAAAGTTGCAGGGCTACAAAGGGAGGCTTTTATCGAGAGCCGAGAAGGAAGTTCTTATAAAATCAGTGATCCAAGCCATCCTGACTTATTTGATGGGGGTGTACAAGTTGCCTAATAGTGTCATCGAGGAAATTCGTGGCCTTACAGCAAGATTTCGGTGGGGAAATTCGGATTCTAGAAGGAGAGTTCATTGGCTAAATTAGGAGGTTGTGTGCAAACAGAAGTGTTTGGGTGGGATGGGGTTTCGAGATGTGGGAGTTTTTAATGAAACTCTCCTTGGTAAGCAAGCTTGGTGACTTATCAACAATCCCGACTCACTTTTTGGGCGAGTAATGAAAGGCAAATATTTCCCTCACTTGGATTTTTTGGAGTCCTCTCTTGGCTATAATTGCAGTTACTCATGGTGAGGGATTTAGGGAGCTAAATCCCTTGTGAAAGAAGGGCTGATATGGAGAGTAGGAGATGGTTCTAAAATCAGAATTTTTGATGACCCGTGGGTCGTGGATGAGAATTGGAGGTTTGTTTGTACTCCTAGAATAGACAAGCTGATTGTGGTCAAGGACTTGGTAGATGCTGAAACGAAGGACTGGAACTATGAATTACTCTCTGGTAACTTTGAGGAGAGGGATGTTAGATGTATTTTGTCTATACCTCTTAGTCATAGAGTTCAGGATGACATCTTGACTTGGGCATTTTCCAAAGAGTGTCTATAATGTCAAAACTGCATATATGCTTGGGAAGTCTTGCGATTTAGGGGCTTTCCATCAAGTGTGGGTAGACATTTGGGGCCTTGATACGATCCCAAAAGTCAAGCATTTTCTCTGGCGAATTAGCACCAACTCCCTGCCAACTTGTGCCCTCCTGTATAACAGGCATATGAAGGATTCCACCATCTGCCCATGGTGTTCTAGTGCTCCTGAAACGCGTCATCACACTTTTTTTGACCGTCCGGCTGTTCAGGACCTGTGGTTCGAATGTGAATGCTCTGAGCTTGCTGTCACTGACCCAGCTTTTGATTTTAAAGAAATGCTTTTGGATTGGAAGCAACAAAATGAGAGAAAATGCCTTGTTGGGGTTGCATTGTTATGGCAGATATGGAGCCGTAGGAATGAGAAAGTTTTCAACAATAAGGAAGTCCCTCATTTGATAGTAAGAGACTGATTTTTACGCTTGGTTGAAGACTGTGGTAAGTACGCTGCTAAGGTTTATGGTGTGGTCAGCAAGAGCAAGTGCAATAGCCCGAAGAAATGGCTCCCTCCTCCTGATTTCGTGAAGATCAACTGTGATGCTTGCCTTAAGACCAATGGCTGGATTGGTCTTGGGGTTGCTGCTAGAAACACTGCAAGGGAGGTCCTATTTGCAAGGGTGAGACGAGTGCGTAGCTACTGGCCACCAGACATTGCAGAGTGCAGAGCCTTGCTTTTTGGTGTGAAGCTAGCTAGAAGATTTGGGTACAAGAAGGTAATTTTTGAGTCGGACTGTCAGCATGTTAGCACTCGACTCTCAAAGGCTGCAACCTATTTCACTGATATTGATTTGGTGCTTGATGATATTTTTTATCTTTGTTCTAGCTTTGATTTTGTCACTTGGTCTCATGTTAAAAGGGATGGGAACTTTGTTGCTCGTCACCTTGCTAGTTTAGTACTGTTTGGTGTTGAACAAGTTTGGGAGAATTCTTGCCCTTCTGTAATTTCTCCTTACATTCTAATGGACAATCTGTACATTGATTAATTTGGTATTATACGTCTTTCAAAAAAAAAAAAAAAAAAAAAAAAAAAAAAAAAAAACTCCCCTTTATTACAACAACAAAAAACAAAAAAAAAAAAAAAAAAAAAAAAAAAGTTTGTAAAGGAATTTGAACCCTTAGTCTCAAACGTCCCTCAGTAAATGTAGAAAGTACTAATTCCAACAAAGATTCAACCAAAGGGAAAATTATTGTCTAGGAAATGTCAAGATTTGTTTGACTGTATGAAAGAACTTTTGCTTTCCATTTCCTTGAATAATTACACTTAACTGGAAGATCGAGCTAGGTAAGTAAATTTATCCTTTTTGTGAGAAGTGAAACTTCGGATTCTACAAAAATTGTTATATATGACTGGTCGCAGGGTATGGCCAGTCATTATGGGGATTACTTCGTTAGTGTTATAGGGGTTACTTGGTCAGTGTTACAGGAGTTACTTTGTCGGTGTTATAAAGGTACTCGGTCAGTAGTAAAGAGGTTATCCGATCAGTATTACAGTGATTACTCGGTCAGTATTATAGGAGTTACTTTGCTTTTTTACAAGTGGTCACACAGTGTGGCCAGCTACACACAAGACGGACTGTTCTATTATCAACCAAACAAGTTCACTGTACATATTAATTTGCCAAGAAAATCAATATGTCATGTGTTTTATGTATCAGCCAAATATAGTTGGACCTTAATAATGTTTGTTGGTTGTCATCATCAAGGACCACGGTATTGTCGCTATAAATAATTGGTAAATGTCTCATTTTGATTTTTTTACACGATTTACATAATGCACTATAACCAATGTTAGTGATCTATATATTTTTTAAAAATATATATATGTACTTTCTCCGTTTTTTTTATTGCGCCATGAGAGATTTCACGTTTGCCTATGCATTACTTTGGCTATTAATATCTTTAATTAAAAAAAAAAAAAAAAAAGTTGATATTTGAAAAGTAGATTTCGAGAAGAATCTAACTAGATTTCACATAATTATGTTTTTCCTAATGGATAAATAACAAAAGATGGTCAAAGAAGATCGACTAAGTGAATAGTGTAAAAGTCCTTATGTTGCAATAAAAGAAAAACGGGGGAAGTATATAATATTGTTATATGATAAGTTGTTATATTGCATTGATATATAGTTTTCGAATATCAAAATTATAAGATTTATACTAATTGAAACTTAAAAATTTTATTGATTAACAATCTGCATTGGCATATATGCCCTGTTAAATGGAGGCATTTTATTGGAAAAATTAGTTTTAATAATCCCAACTTTGGCTGATGTTTCGGGGTTTTTTGATGTCCTGCGGGAGAGTTACAACTCCGAGACTGGATCCACGCGCTGTACCTACAAAACAACGGAGACTCCGGGGTTGGGAGCTCCGCCTCTGACGATCAAGTTAGTTCTTGTATGTAGAGTAAAAAGGTGCGGAAAGGTAAAAGATGTGATCTGGTTCCTCTAGGGGAGGAGAGATCAGGAGAAGCGCACCTACTTGGACGGGTCTAGCAAGAATGCGCGAGTGTAGTTTGTGATCAATTTCCGATTAGCATAATCTCCCATTAATGAGGATTAATGACGGTATTTATAACCTTGGGAAGCGTGCATAATTCTAGGGTTTTTGGCAAACCTTAGATCTGACTGGGCTTCTCGGGAATCGGGCCTTTGGTGGCCGTGCTCATAGGCAACGTGGCATGACGTGGCTGGTCCATGGTGGACAAATGGGGATGTGCCACGTGTCAGGCTCTGATAGGTGCTTCTAGAAGACACTTGTCAGGCCCTGATTGGTCCACGTGGCGCATCCTAACTGGGCGGGGAAAAACCCCCTAATCATTTGCCCCTCACAGGTGGCACGTGACTGGTCACGTGGGGCCTGTGACAAGTGGCGGCCTGTAACAGGCGACGGCCTGCTACAGATGTCTACTGGTGGTTGGCTGAGCAGTTTTCCCGCCCGCTTTTGAATTTTAGAAGTGACCTTTCGTCTTCCATTTTTTCCCTATATAAGGGCCTTGATCGAAAGTCTTTCATTCATACTTTTGCAAACTTTCTGAAAGAACTTGCGGACCCTTGGACTTGAGCTCTGACACTTCAGAATTTCTTAGACTTTTGACGACTGTTTTTCCAGCCGACTGCTACTTTGGACGGCTGCTTTTTCATTCTACCTTCAACAGATTTCATTACTCAGGTAATCGTCTGTTCCTTCTTGAACTTTCCTTTTTTCTTTTTACTTGTGAAATATGATATCTCAAAAGCACTCGGCACGACCTAGGTTAATGATCAGTCGGTCAGCGGGGACGGCTGAATCTAGGACTAGGAGTACCGACTCACCTTTTCTGGAACCAACCCTGCCCTTTGTGCAAAGTCCGACTGTTTCTGTGTCTGTGCAGGATACTATGGCAAGAACCAAGAGGACTGCCAGATACACAAACTCGGACGGTTCCTCTTTCTATGCTCCTGTCAGCGAGCTCTCGGACAGGTCGCCTGAATCTGCCAGGGCTCCGAGTGACCCTGCTACTGAAAGTTCTGAAGATGGGACTAAGATTGTCCCTTCAAACTTTGTTGTTGACCTGTCTGGTCAACAGCCGGCCCCTGCCGAAGAAGAGGGGTCGGCCCCCTCTAGAGGGGAAGAGTCGGACTCCTCGGAGAGTGGGTCTGACAGCAACTCTTCTGATCGCCTTTCCTAACTTCTGAAGAAAGGAATTCGCGCTTGCATGAGGCCAGACTATCTCATGCTATTGAAAAGGGGGACGACTGGGCTGGGCCGTCCACCTCTCGAAGGGAATCTCATACCCCCTACTTCTGCCACGTACCGAAAGGTTGAATCAAGGCCATGAACGAGCGTGTTGAGACTTTTAAGATGGACCATGTGATGGGTCCAGAGTTTTCTTTATTCGTGCCGGATGCTGAGGACACGGTCGTGTGGCCGGAAGGGTCCAGCTATGCGGACGAGTGCTTTGGCTGCTATGAAGCGGACATTAAAGCTGGTCTTCGGTTTCCGTTGCATCCGGCTGTACAAAAAATCCTCGACGGATACGAGGTGGGGCTATGGCAATTAGCCCTGAACTCTTGGTTCAACATCCTTGGCTATGTGGCCGGATGTGAAATGCACGGGGCAGACCCTAACTTTGAGGCGTTCGCCCACATGAACTATTTGAGCCGGACCCCTAAGGCAAGCGGTACCGGCTGGTACCAAATCATTAGCCACAAGGGCTACGCCATGATAAGGGAAAAGGAAAATAAATGGAAGGATTGGAGAAACACCTTCTTCATAATCTCCGATCCCCACAAAATTTTGAACAAACGTTACAATAGGTGGAATAGGGATCCACCTCTTCTAGCAGGCGGCTGCAACATGCCACCTGTCCCTCAGCAGGCCCGCAAGGAGATCCTTGAGAAAGGACTCTTCAAAGTGGAGATTAGGGCCGACTCCACTACTGGGAAAAAGGAGCTAGTTCCTTTGAACTGCATTCCCAAGTTTGAGTGGCTCTATGATGAGTACCTTTTGGCCGCCTGTGGCCTAAGTAGTCTGTGCTCTAGAGGTAGCTGGCCTTTATGTCTTCATATAAATTATTTACTCAAATTTTCCTCGTTTAACTCTTGGTTCTTCTTCTTTGCAGCCGACGCTATGGACAAAATTTCTATGTCCAAGAAGGCAGCCGCCCTACTTAGGGCCTCTATAATGGCCATAAATGAGCCAGCTGCTGACTCGCCCTCCAAAGAGGCGCCCAAGGTGAGCTTTGAACCTTGGTTGATTTTTTCTTTAGTAATTTGCGCAGTCATAATAACATTCTTCTGTTTGGTTTACAGATTAGCTCGTCCCGGCTCTCTTCGTCCCAGCAGCCAAACCCTAAGGTTCGAAAACAAGCGACTGGCAGCATGCCTGGTTCCTCAAGGAAGCAGGCGGCTGAGAAATAGCCAATAACCCAGCAAAGTGCGGGAAAACAGGCTGTCGTCCCAAAGGACAACCGGCCCCCAAGAGGTATACCTGGTTATTTGGCCCTTGCCATTTTTCTTCAATATTTTACTTCTGGTTCTGATTTCTATTTTCTTGTGCAGGCGGCCACCAGGAACCTTACTTGGTTGGAATGGCCAAGTCAATAGTGAAGGCCATCCCTCATGACGAGAGGGATGCGGTCAAGGGAGTCGGCACTCTTGACCTTGATGGGATTATGGGGCTGCTCTCCGAGGTATACTTGGCTTTTAGAAATGTCTCAATTCATTATCGCCTGATTTTTGCAAGCCTGGCGCCTGTTTTTTCTTTTTCAGACCCTGCTCCGAGTACACGGCCTTCGCAGGCCGATTCATGCCAAAAACCAAGAGGTAAAGCTGTCAAAGCCATGGCCGCCTCTGATTTTAACAAGGCAATGTTTCAAATTGCCCGGAACGAAATTCTAACAACTGACATTCTTTATTACCAGGCGGCTGCCACTTCGGAGATTAAGAGTCAGTTGGAGGCGGCTAAAAAACGAAACCTGGAGCTGGAGAAGAAGGTTACAGAGCTTCAGGAGAAGCTGCAGGCGCTCCAGCATATTGGTCATAAGGCCGAGACTCTGTAGAAGACAAATGAGTCTCTCAGAGACCGGCTGACCAAACAGGAGGCGCTCATTACTCAAGAACTTAAAGGCAAGTTCGAGACTGAAAAATTCGCTTTAGCAAAGGCCATGATGGATGAATCGAACAACATCATGAAGATGACCTGGTCTACACTCTTCCCCAAAAGTGATTACCGGCAATGGTACTCCAAATTTACCGCCTGCAAAGACGAATACAACCGCCAAATTATGCAGCAGGCGGCTGATGAGGATGAAAGGGAAGAGAAGACGGCTGCCTCCAGCTCTGAGGACGAGGAAGAGGTAGTGTCGGGTGAGGCCGAAACGCCAAAGGAGCCGGCCCCTGCGAATGAGCCCAACGAAGACGCTTCGAAGAACGATGCGCCCACAATTGATCTTGACTAGGCGGTTGTTGAAACAGAAGCCCCTCCTCCGATCCCAATGTTTAAAGCCTTATGTTTTT